ACTCTTTCGTGGCAGTGATAAGTCTTCGGCTGCTAGTGGGAGCAAGGAGGTGGGAGCGGTGTCTGCACTACCTTAAATTAACACCAGTAATAACCACCAGCACCAGCATGACAGTCTCCACCCCAATTTCAGATCTCAGTATGAGCCTTCCAGTGTCAGGGGAGGAGCTTGATCTGGATGCAGCAGAGCTGAGTGCCAAAGCTAAGAAAATTCTGGGAAGGAGGGGGAATCTGAATTTGTGCTCCACACTTCTCAAAGTTCCCCTACAGGCAGGTCTCTTCTTGAAGGCACTTCAGAGGAGGTTGTGGGGGCAGGTGGCTCAGTTCCTCCTCTTGTTGCGCACCTGCCTGGTGAGGAGGGAGATAAGGCATGATCTCCACTCTCAACCCAGAAGTGGGTGGGTAGTGTGGGATCATTTTGAGGTGGCAGAAGATCCCAGGTATGCTACCTGCCAGAACTGCCACAAAGAGATCAGCTGGGGCAAGGATAAGAAACACTTCACCACCATGGCGATGCTGCTGCATCTCAGGAGGCAGCACCCATTTGCCCTTGTTCCTCTTCAGCCTGGCATCAGTGGGAGCATGCCCAAAAATAAGCCCCTCTCTTGCTCCAAAGCTCCTATCCCCAAGAAGCAGAGGCAGGCCACCCTGGACCAGCGGGGGAAAGATGGAGACAAAGGAGGGCGTGTTCCTAAGGCGAGCTAGGTAATCCAGAGCATTGAGAAGATGCTTGCTCTGCATGGCCAGCCCTTCTCCTTTGTTGAGCATCCAGGGTTCAGGCAGCTCATGGTGCTTGTGGCCCCATCCTACCAAGTGCCCACATGCACCACCTTAAGCAGGATGGTGGTACCCTCCCTGTATGAGGAATACAGGGAGTACTTGAGGGATGAGCTGCAGAAGGCAGGGCTGTAGGTATCTTTGCACTTCACCTCGGACATCTGGAGCAGTTGGGGTGGAGATCACGTCTACCTCTCCCTCACAGGGCACTGGTGCAATCAGCCAGGGTGTCGGTGGGCTTTCCTTCAAGCAGAGGTGATGGATGAGTCCCAAGGGAGATCATGGTGGCCATGAACCGCAAGGTACAGGGGTGGCTTGTTGGGCAGGGCGAGCTCACCCATGGGTTCATGGTCACCGACAATGGGGCCAATATAGTCAAGGCGATGCATGATTCCAACTCTGTTGGCATCTGCTGTGTGGCACACAAGCTGTACCTCATAGTCAGGGATGCCTTGGAGGGGGACAGGCACCATCACTACCAGTACCAGCCAGTTCATTTCAAAATGCAGGAAGGTGGAGGGCTACTTCCACTGGAGCATCAAGGGGGGCAAGATGCTGCGGGACAAACAGGCAGAGTTCAGCATCCCACAGCACAAAATTATGCAGGATGTGGAGACTCAGTGGAACTCCACATACCTGATGCTCAAAAAGCTGGTGGAGCAACAGAAGGCCATCCATGAGATAGCGTCAGTCAGGGAGACTGGGATCAGCAGCCCCCTTAACAAAACAGAGTGGGATACCCTCTTCCAGATCTTGGTGGTCCTCAAGCCATTCCTCAAGGCCACCAAAAGTCTCAGCGCTGGTAATGCCCTCCTCTAGCCAGGTGATCCCCATAGTGAAGGAGCTTGAGAATCAAATGGAGAAGTTCCAGGGAATCAATGTTTCGGGCTGGGGCAAGCCCGTTTCACCAGAGGTTCAGGCACTGGTGAAGCAGCTGAAGAAGGGCACAAAAAAATGGCTGGATCCATTGTGGCCCAGTACGGTCCTCATGCTGATGGGCATGTGAGACCCAATGGTGAAGGGGAGCATCTGCAGCAGCAAAACCTTCGATCACTGGATGGAGGTGCTGGTAAACAGAGTCAGGGAGGCAGAAGAACAGAGGCAGGGGGACATGGAAGAGGGGGATCCACTTTTCCATGCCAACACTTCAACCACAAGCCAATCTCCTCCACCACAGCTACTGCTATTGTGGGCCAAGGGCATGGCTTTAATGTTGGGGTCCAGAGGCACCAGATCCCACCATCCAGCAGGTAGCATGAAGGCCTTGGTGGCTACCTATCTCACGGAGGACATGGCACTGTGACCCCTGGCCTATTGGGTAACCCACAGTCAGGTGTGGCAGGATCTCGCCACCTGTCCTGTCCACCAACCAGTGTTCCAAGCAAAAGGGCACTTAGCATTGCTGGTGATGTTGTGACACCCCACATCTCCTTGGATCCTGGTTTGGTGGAGCAGCTGGTATTCCTGAAGGTGAACCTCCCACTGCTGGGGTTCCCCAAGCTCCACATGCAGACGGAGTGAGTGCCACCCTCCTCACTCTGCACCTATTTGCTTTTTTAATTTGCTTTCAGAACCATTTAATGCCCTGCTCTCAGAGCTGGAGGTGGCAGTTTAGTTTATCACCAGCCAGCAGGGGAAGACTATCTCCCTGCTGAGATCCCGTGCCAGGCAGAACTTGGAAGTATAGGCTGGGGCTACGGAGAAGGAGAAGGCCCCAGGGTCCTGGGCATGACCTAAAAGGGTAGGGAGGTCTGGTGGGACTGTTGGTGGCGCGACAGCCACAGGAAATGTCAGTACTTGCGAGCCTCCCTGGTGAAAGGCGGGTAGGGGGTGCCTGATAACCTCCAGCCACCGCACGCATGCACAGTCCTGGCTGGGGAAAGCCCAGACCTGTAAGATCTTTGAGTGGCCTGAGGCTTACTGGTTGAAGTGGAGTTGTGAGGGTGAGAATAGCCAGGTGGCTCAGATCTGACCTGAGGTACCCTTGACTGGTCTGTGCTGGGGCCAGGACCCAAAGGGGGGAGGTCAAAGGGTCAGGAGCCCACTGCGAGGAATGCCCAGAGCAAGAGGCTCAGGCTTCCGACTGGCCTGAAAGCGAGGCCAGGGCCTAAGGGGGAGCCAAAGGTTCCAGAGAGGGGACCACAGCTGGAGGAGAGGAAGGATACAATCTGCAAGGCATGGG